AACTATCAAGACTGCCTTAGCTTCTATAGTTTTAACGTTATGAATACTAATCTTCTCTTGGGAAGTAAATAAAAAAAAATAATGGTAATATTAACAATAAAGACGATATTTTCGGATCCGTGGGTTTTGACAGCAAATGCTTCGTACAGACGCGTCCGTACCGGCAGGGCGGCTTTGCCTATTTTCCCGTATTTCTTTGTTTTTACGCCCTCGCTCGTGATGCTATGACTGGCATCTACGCAACTACGATTCCATGAGTACTCACATAGTTGACTAATCAAGGATAAGCTTGGAGGAAAGGCAGAGCAAGCTTCAAATGTGACGAGCAGTTTGAACTTGGTGCTGTGACGTACACAAACAATGTTTGACTGACGTTTTTTCCCTCATCGAGTCTAAATAAAGGAAAAAGATTATTTTCCTCCGTCGTGTATTATAAGGGCGCGGTGCAGACGAGAGTGAATTTATATGGATTGTTTATCTTGGTTTATTGATACTTGGTGTATGTTATTAATGACGATAAAATGCATGTTAGGCCGATACTTATTTTTCAACGGAACAGATGTTATCGTTTCGTCCGAATGCTTTTTGGCTTTGGCTTCCGCTCCGTTTAGAAAAAAAAAGTTATATATTTTACGACTTTTTAGAATAACAGCCAGAGAATACATCTTTTTATTATATTAGACTAAAACGGTTAGTTTATATGATAAAACCGAGGAAATGAACATTGTTCATTGTTTTGGAAGAAGATAATAAATATGAACAAAAACACCCTCAACAGAATAACAAAATATGTAAGCGATATCATTAGTACTCTGCATTAGTTACCACTATTCTGTAACCAAAAACATGAGCGAATAATGTTCTGAGAATCCGTGATCGTGAAACCTTTTCCGTCATTTTGCTCACGTGTTCAGTTTCGATGAAAACCAATCTAACAAATTAAAATATTGCTTACATTTCTACGAACTGTGTATTATTGTTACACAAAGACTGATATAAATATATATATATACATATATATATATATATATATATATATATATATATATATATATATATATATATATATATATATATCAATGTATGTATATATGTATATTTGTATCCATATGTATATATAAATATATGCATGTGTATATATGTAAATATATGTATATATATGTATTCATATGTATGTATGTATATGTACATATGTAAAATATATCTATATATCTATATATATATATATATATATATATATATATATATATATATATAGATATAGATAGATATATTTTACATATGTACATACATATATGTATACACATGCACATATGTATATATATATGTAAATATGTATATATATGCATATATAATATATACATATATATGTAAATATGTATATATATGCATATATAATATATACATATATATATATATATACATATACATATATATATATATATATATATATATATATATATATATATATATATATATATATATATATATATATATGTATATATATGCATATGCATGTATAATGTATACATATGAATATGTATACCCACACGCACACACACACCTATATATATATGTATATATATATATATAAATATATATACACACATTTATACCTATATATATATATGTATATATATAAAAATATATAAAGACACATTTATACATATATATATATATATATATATATATATATATATATATATATATATATATATATATATGTGCGTGTGTGTGTGTGTGTCTACATATATGTGCCTATGTATATATGAACAAAAATTAATATCAATATCATTATCTATCTGCTTATGTATTTACCTAACTATCTATCCAATTGTCTATCTAGCTATCTATGTATTTATGAATATATGTGTGTATGTATGTATGTATGTATGTATGTATGTATGAATGGATCTATCTATCTATAAATCTATAAACATATGAACTGTGTTCACATGGTGCTTATGTGTATACATATATCAAACCATCAGCCTATATCATTCAAAACACATTCAGAGATTGTTTCCAGTACCAACCTTGCCTGGCTGGATTTTTTCCTAATCTACATATTTTCATCTATTTACAACCATATGCAGATTTGCACCACAGTATTAATTTTGGATACAACTGATGGTAACTGGAGCTCTTATAATTCTGATTTTTGAAAATTGGCTTGAATAGTAACTACCATAGCCATTATATATATTTCAGATACTGTTTTCATTAAAATACCTTACCTTTCATGTGTAATAATCTAATATACTGAATAAGAGATCAGAATGTTGGATTATTAAACAGGTAAGACCACTATAATGAAGTGATTTAAATAACACTGAAAGTAGAATACACTATTGTACTGGATTTTCCTTCATCACATATCTACTGTTAGGTATTCAAACTAAGATAAACTAAAAAAACAAATACTGTTTTAGAGTTTTATTTCCTCCTATATATTTATGTGGCTGAGTATCCATCCCTTTTTTTTTGTTTTCTTCTAGACGATTTTTGAGGATTTGTTTAGGAAGCTTGATATATGACATGAAAATACACATTACTAAAAAGGGCACAGAATTACGATTGTCCTTGGACGGTTCAACAGTGATAAAAAAGGAACGTTCTCCCTACGGTGAAATATGTGCATCAAAATCTTCCAAGTGATTTATGAGAAAATGACCTGAAATGCTTAAGTGATAATACTCAAATTTTATGACAGTGTCTTGAGATGTATGGATGTGAATATGGCTGTGTATATCCTCAGGAGGTTTAATAAAAGTAATATAGAATAGTAGTTACAAGTGCAGTTATTACTTAAATAACAATTGATATTTACTGAAAGAACTAGCTAAGTTTTGTTTATGTTGAACTAGTCTAGACCATGATGCTTTAGTATATCAGCAAAACTAAGTTACCATTCGTTTTTATAAAATATTAGACCCTTTTCTGAATCACTCAAAACCTATTTTGCATAAAGAATTTCTAATCACACTCTCCCAAAATAGAGATGTTTCCTGAAAATCAGGACATCACATAGAGTAATATCTCTAAAAACTGAAAAATATAAATTGCCCTTCAATTTATGAGATTAAGTGGATAAGTGGATAATCATACTGCAGAACCTTGCCATATATGACCCCTTTCATATAATTTTTCAAAATTTATAAATCTGCTGAAAACATGGCTGCCAGCTGATTTTCATGAAAATTATCTCCATAACAAGAAAGTGGTAAGGCCAGCTGCAATCCAACAAAGGCAAAATTAGCACAAGACATAATAGTGAGCTTCCTTCCTTTCGCCTTGATATAAAGCTGTCCCAGTGGCTGTATGGCAAAGCTATTCCACTGACTGCATGGACAACCATGAAGGTTGAGTATACTAAAGTAAACTGATTTTGGGAAAAAAATAATTTCAATATTCCTCCTGAAAGTAGTTTACTGGGAAAAAAAGCAAATTCTTTTACTGTTTCCTTTTAAAATTATCTACTTCCCTTTATGTCTCAAGTATTCAGAATCAATCATCTGTTTCTCCTCTATATCTTACAAGAGAGCTTTGTGCATGATTAATGTTTCAGAATTAGTCTTGGTCCATGTAGGGTGTAAATGGGCTAATGAACTGATTCAGTGATAAAAAAGGAACTATTCTCCCTACGTGAAATATGTGCATCAAAATCTTCCAAGTGATTTATGAGGAAAATTGACCTGAAATGCTTAAGTGATAATACTCAAATTTTATGACAGTGTCTTGAGAATGTATGGATGTGAATATGGCTGTGTATATCCTCAGGAGGTTTAATAAAAGTAATATAGAATAGTAGTTACAAGTGCAGTTATTACTTAAATAACAATTGATATTTACTGAAAGAACTAGCTAAGTTTTGTTTATGTTGAAACTAGTCTAGACCATGATGCTTTAGTATATCAGCAAAACTAAGTTACCATTCGTTTTTATAAAATATTAGACCCTTTTCTGAATCACTCAAAACCTATTTTGGCATAAAGAATTTCTAATCACACTCTCCCAAAATAGAGATGTTTCCTGAAAATCAGGACATCACATAGAGTAATATCTCTAAAAACTGAAAAATATAAATTGCCCTTCAATTTATGAGATTAAGTGGATAAGTGGATAATCATACTGCAGAACCTTGCCATATATGACCCCTTTCATATAATTTTTCAAAATTTATAAATCTGAAGAAAAACATGGCTGCCAGCTGATTTTCATGAAAATTATCTCCATAACAAGGAAGTGGTAAGGCCAGCTGCAATCCAACAAAGGCAAAATTAGTACAAAGACATAATAGTGAGCTTCCTTCCTTTCGCCTTGATATAAAGCTGTCCCAGTGGCTGTATGGCAAAGCTATTCCACTGACTGCATGGACAACCATGAAGGTTGAGTATACTAAAGTAAACTGATTTTGGGAAAAAAATAATTTCAATATTCCTCCTGAAAGTAGTTTACTGGGAAAAAAAGCAAATTCTTTTACCTGTTTCCTTTTAAAATTATCTACTTCCCTTTATGTCTCAAGTATTCAGAATCAATCATCTGTTTCTCCTTCTATATCTTACAAGAGAGCTTTGTGCATGATTAATGTTTCAGAATTAGTCTTGGTCCATGTAGGGTGTAGCTAATGGAGCTTAAGAACAGAATGAAATGTTGCATCTGATGAAACTTTTTCTAAATTGTAAAATTTACTTTTCTTATCAAAAGATTTCATATGTTGTATATTGTTTAGTCTGATTAATGTTCAATACATTTGTTCACTACAAAGCATTTCCGTAACCAAATATAATATGACATGAAACTTGAAAGTCTATTTTTACACATAGCACCTATCTTCACAATGGATTTTCATATATAAATGACACTCATCACCACCAAAACTTATTTTGGTAACCTAGCTATGGATATTTCCTTTTCCCAAGTATAAAACAGAATTAATCATTAATTATGTTGCATTAATGCAACAAAACTACTTATCTAAGGAAAATGCAACATATAAATAAAATGTGAGACTGCGTTTAATAATGAGATAATGAAGACAAACCATCACAGACAATAAAAATACATACTAAGATGACAATGATGAAAGAGATGAAAAAATGGCTTGTATAATTTGCATACTGCAAGAGAATACAATTAATTTTAAAACAAATTTTGATGGTGCACCTGTTTCACACTAAACTTGATGCATTAGTTTCCTACATACCTAAAAATCATAACTTTTATACATTGTTTGAAAATGAAAAGAAAAAGCATAGACATGCCTAAAAGAAACTCATAATAATCTGTGATGCATGGTAAATAATAACAATAGTTTAAATATATATGGAATGAAAAAGAAAAAATAATAATAATAAACAAAAAAATAAAAAATAAAATAAATTAATTAATTAATGTCAATTTAATATACAGTAATATTTCACTTGATTACTAATGATACAATAAAATTGACCTCTTTTCAGTAATACATAAATTGGATACTTAATCAAACATAGTCTTATACCACAATAAAGAAAACAAACAAGGATGATTTTACTCAACAACTAGGTGAATATCTGATTCTTCAGCATGGAAAAATCAATAAAAAAAGAAAGTACAATCTATTAAACCCCTCAGCCTCAGGTTTTTGTTCTGTCCACTATACTTTTCAGTAAATTTTTTTGCACACAAATGGTTCCACAAATGCTTAGCTACCTAGGAGCCAATTCGTCATCCCTAGTGACCATGTCTGCTTTCCTTATTATTTCAATTTGCATTTTCCTTTTAATGCTATTAATATTGATACTGTTATCGTTATCATTGGTGTTATGATTATTATTACATCAAAGTAATCATAATAATTAAAATTAATCTTTCCAAAAATCAAGGAAAAGGGTAAACAGGTGAGATTGTTAGAACTTATAATGGACTCCTTGGTGACTAAATACTTGTGGAGAGATTTCTGTGTAAGCACAATTAATAACTAAAATTACAGTGGGCATACATCAAGTTGACTGAGGCCAGTGGGTTAATGATTCATCTTTAACACAAAAGTATAAGAAATTTTCTATCAGTTTCTACAGAATAACCCTATACGTCACATTCTTTTCTTCAGATGGCCATCACTACACACGGAATGTTGAAGAACCTACCTCAAACACCACTGAACATGATTAGTCCATGAACCTACATCAAATGTCTTTATAAATAATATTAATCCAAGGTGAATATTCTAGCCGCGATATCTCGGATGAGCCAGTCTATACCTGCCACGAGGTTCTCGCCTGTGACAGCACTGCACGGCAAGATGTACCAGTGGTGTGTCTTGAGATTGTTGAGGTCCAGGATCTGGCAGGGGAGGAGAAGGGGACAAAAGAATCTAGTAGTCTATTTCTCATTGTTTGAATTTCCTTTCAATCAATATTTTTTCTTAATATATTAGTATGAAAAAAGAGTGAGAGAGAGAGAATGAAGATATACTTAGAAAATAGGAAAAAATGAAAAAATACAAAGGAGTGAAAAGAATCAAATGACTACACTCATGATTAAGTGGGTATTTAATTAATATATTAATGGCGGCAATTAATACATATTAACGTGACCTTAATATCCCAGAAAGAAATACCACAATTATAAAATTAATTCTTTGTATTCTTACACGAAAATTCATTTCCTCTTCTTTCTTTTGATATTAGTTTCACATGTTAAGCATTACACACTTGTTGAACAGGGAAAAACAGAATAAAGTTGATGATGATCGGTTCTTATAATACAAAAGAGGTGATTTTATTACTATCAAATAAAATAATTCATTTTGCAAATCATTCTACAGCCCTAATTGTGTGCACAAGAGGAAGGGGAAAGAGAAGAAAAGGTCTTTATTTTCCTCTTTCTGAGGTGGTGGGGGGAATAATTTTTAAGTATAAAAAGACTTCTATTTACATTATGTACATATGTCCACAGATCAGTATCCTTAACTAATCACATGTCTATCTGACAATCAATCAATTTTCTCTCTCTCTCTCTCTCTCTCTCTCTCTCTCTCTCTCTCTCTCTCTCTCTCTCTCTCTCTCTCTCTCTCTCTCTCTCTCTCTCTCTCTCTCTCTCTCTCACCTAAGTTAAAAAAGTGTGCACACATGCGCCCCCCTCCCCACATATATTCTATACTCACATCTCTTATTTGCTCGGAAGAAAGGGCCTCTGGAAGATCCTGCTTGTTAGCAAAGACAAGTAGTGTTGCCCCTGCCAGTCTCTGAAAAATGAAAAAAACAAAAAGAAAATTTACGGAAGGCACTAAGTGACCAAAAACAGTCTTCCAAGAACCGTAACATTTATTTCTGTGACAAGAAATGTTAGCCAAGTCAATCACTTCTAAGTAATGGTTTTATAGAACAGGATAAAGAAGTGGCAGAAAGTAAGGAAAAGAAGAAATACAAGAGCAGGAAAAGAAGTGATATGAAAGCAGGAAAAGAAATGATAGGAGAGCAGGAAAAGTGAGAGGAGAGCCAGAAAATAAGGGATAGAAAAGTAGGTAAAAGAAGTAATATAAGAGCAGGAAAAGAAGTGATATGAAAGTAGGAAAAGAGATGATATGAAAGCAGAAAAATAAGTAAAAGGAGAGCAGGAAAGGAAGTGAAAAAAAAAAAAAAAACAGGAAAAGATGTGATAGAAGAGTAGGAAAACAAGTGATAGGAGAACAGGAAGAGAAGTGATAGGAGAGTAGGAAAAGAGATGATACGAGAGCAGGAAAAGAAGTATGGAAGTGATAGGAGAGTGGGTAAAGAATAAATAAATACATAAGAAGAAGTGAGAGGAGAGCAAGAAAAGAAGTGTTAAAAAAGCAGGAAAAAGTAGTCATATGAGACTAGTAAAAGAAGTGAGAGGAGAACAAGAAAAGAAGTGATACGGGAGCAGGAAAGAAAGTAAGAGAAAAGTAGGAAACAGAAGGAAAAAAAAGACAGGAGAGAAAAAAAGGCGTGATAGAAGAACAGGAAAAAAAGCAACAGGAGAGCAGGAAAGGAAGTGAAGAAAAGCAGGAAAGGAAGTGAAAGAAAAGCAGGAAAAAGAAAGTGACATGAGAACAAGAAAAGAGATGATATGAGAGCAGAAAAAGATATGATAGGAGAGCAGGAAAATAGATAATACAAGAGCAGGAAAAAAGAGTGAAACAAGAGCAGAAGAGATGATACAAGAACAACATATGAAATGGAGAACTCTCAACAGAAATCCCTGGAAAGTTAAAGAGACTCAAAGAAAATGTAGGAATAAGAGACAAAAAGAGGGAGTGGCTGAGTGAGTACGAGAGTGGGTAATTTTGACTTAGTGAGTGAGTGAACATTTGGGTGAGTGAATTAGTAGATGGGTGAGGGAGTGATTAGGTGACTGAGTGAATGAGTAGGTGAGGGAGTGGGTGAGTGGGTGAGTGAACAAGTTAATGAGTGAGCAGGTGAGTGAGTAAATGAGTGACTGAGTAGATGAGTGAATATGAGTAGGTAAGTCAGAAAGTGAGTGTATGAGTAAGTACACAGTCAGTGAAGAGTTGGTGTGTGAGAGTGTGTACATGAATGAGTGCATGAGTAACTTGAATAGCCTGATTGAGTTGAGTTAAACTGAGCAAATAAGTGAGTGAGTGAGTGAGTGAGTGAGTGAGTGAGAGAGAGTGAGTAAATGAGTAAGTAAGTGAGTAAGTAAGTAAATAAGTAAGTAAGTAAATGAGTGAATGCATGCACACACGAGTGCATCTGAGATAGTGCAAGTGAGTGAATGTAAGTGAATAGGTAAGTAGAATAATTACAATAGAAAACCAGAGCCCTAACAAAAAAAAATTAACAAGAAAAAAAAAATAATAAATAAATAAAAGGGGGGGGGGGGAAATCTTTTTAAATAAAGTACAAAATTTACCTCCTCCTCTAACAGCTTCTTGAGTTCCCCCTGGCAGTCCTTCAGGCGATCAACGTCCGCGCTGTCCACGACCCATATGAGGCCATCTGTGCATTCGAAGTAATTCCTCCAGTACGAACGCAGTGAGCTTTGTCCTCCTACGTCCCATATGTTCAATTTATATCTGTTGGCATATCACCTTATATATAATGGCAGATTTCTAAAGCACATTTTACTTTAAAAAATAATAAATAAATAAATAATAATAATAATAATAAAAATAATAATAATAATAATAAATAAAAATATTTTAATAGAACAAAAGATAAAGTTTTGATATTTGGTATTGTTTTACTTTATTTATGCAAACTTTACTGCTTATCCAAGTTACTCAAAAATTATCAGAATAAAATGGTTTTAATATATTAATAATGTACACAAATTCCCTTTTTTTCTTTTCTGTTGTGGCCAGTTTAAAATAATGTCTTAAAACAAGTATATTCAAACATGAAATATCTACTGGGTGTAGAATACTACCTAATTAATTTTATGAAGGGTATAACAACTTATTAATGGTAATCTATATGATTTAGTAGGCAATGATCAGTGTCATTATTCAGTAACCATTCCTTAACCCATTCCCGCCAGGCATGCCATGCCATGGCCACTGTGAGATTACTTGTTAGATGGTTTTCACACATAGATGGCTACACTTGTACTAAATCACCAATGAGCCAGTTACGAGTACCGCCTGTCTCGCCCGTTCACCCTTTTCTTTGATTTACGAAATATTTTACGTTATCTTATTTTGCTGTTACTAATGTTAAAAAACATTATAAAAATTATAATGTTTATGATAAAAATAACACCATCAATATTCATGGCACCAGTGAAAAATACGTTTTTTCCCGCCATTTCAAATTGGCGCTAACAGAGCCATCTATGGGCAGATATTTAACAAAAAAGTATAGAAATAGGCACAGCATTTTCCCCATTTTTTGTTCATTTTCCCCGGCGGCAATGGGTTAAGCTTGATAGAAATATTATATTACATTATATAATATAGATAATAAATTATTTCATAAATATCAATCATCCAATGCCAATAAATATCCTAAAATCACTCATATTTTTTTAAAAAGACATTCAAAATTGGCTTCTTTTTGTGTGAGGGTATATATCAACTACTGAAACTTATATACATGGGAATAAAATATCTTTTTCATCAGAATTTCAGATAGTAGGAACCATTCCTTTCTAAAGAAATGCAAATGACATAAGCCACTCCACACATATGCACAGGTGTTGGGACCACAACACCTGTTAGTTAACACTTGTTAATGTCAAGCATGTAGTATCTGTGGTTTCTGTGACAGAAAAGAGTTTATAAATATCCTTCTTGTATCCAGTTGCTGTTTGCAGTCACTAAAAAACATCTTGAGGTATTTCATTCAAATCTCTTTTTTTTTTGGCAACATATAAAATATCCATTATGTCATGTTATCGTCTCAAATAATATAAATGCAATTATAAATACCTAATAAGGACAGAATGTTATCAAACTTACTCATATTTATCCACTACATGTTCAACTGTCTTTATATTAAAGCCGTAAGTTGGGGATATTGTGCTGATATCTTCTCCACAAAACCTCTTGACCACTGTTGTCTTCCCTGCATTGTCGAGACCACTGGAATAAGTTGGTTAAGGAAAACTAATTCTTCTTCTTGCAATTTTAAATACAGATTCAATGGATTAAAATATAAAGGAACACAAGACAAATATTTATGTAGGAACATTGGTCTGTCCTATATACTTGTTTGTCAGTTGATATCATGTTAGGGTGTAGGTCAAATTTTTATTTTTTGGCAAAAAAATATTCAGGTGCAAAATGACTCATATACAAGGCAACACCATTTGCTAGGGATAACTTAATGCATTTAAAACTCCTCTCCAACACTTTCTCACTAAATATAATTTACTATTATTGAACTACATATACACACCAAACCAAAGGAAATTGGTGAAAAGCATCTATTTAAGTTAGTCGGGATAGTATATTATGATATGAGTTTGATAATGGTAACATTCACAGACCAACCAACTAAAAATGAAATTTGATTACTTTCAACAACTTCTGGTCTATCATGCTTCAAGGTAAACAATTATACTAGGTGAAAATATC